CACGACCTTTGCCGCTCACCAGATCTCTGGGGTCTCAACGCAATACCGCACGAGAAGCAATCAACAGTATGACTCGTGCCTCTCTTTTCTTCGCTAGTAATCAGGTAACAACCTATAACCGTTCTTACTGAGACAGTTCCACTTGGGGGTCCATGAGAAGCTGGCTTGGACGTGAGCTACGTCGTTGACTGAATGAGATGCCACAAACTGTCATCTGGCGGTACCTGCATGAAAATATGGTATCTTTCCGCCCACAAGTCCACTGCTCGCGTATAGGTCCTACCGGCGGCGATATGTGCTGTCGTTCGTGATTACTTGGACATTGTCATGGGGCACTCATTCTCTGAGACTCTCAATGGCCCGAACACATCCTGGACAAAGGAAGATGCAGCAGGTCTCTCAGATCACGTCTTAAATCGATCCGTGGATATATACACTCAAACGATCGTGCCGACGACAATCGCCTGGTATTCCGTCCACCCTTCCTATTCTTCATTCTCCTTTTTTGCTCTGCCAAGATGGTCGAATTCGCGTTCAAGTGGTGTTCGTCGTATTATGCCATCCTTTCTTAAAACAAGCGCACCTCCATTATGTGTGAGCATCATAATATTCGCTTAGACAGCGGACCTCTGTACAAATTCTTATCCGAAATACGTAGATGTCCTCAATGTCTTCTCTACATCTGTAGCCCCTCGGTGCTCAGCTTGCCGCAAGTCCAAGTCTGGAGATATTCCTTGGCGAATGTCAGCGAGTTGAGAATCGTAGCCGCTATTATCTCAGGCCTCTGAGGCATCATTCCTCGTACCTAGCAGGATGAGAATAGTTTGTTGATCCTAGCTCTACAGATCTCTTCGAGCTATCATACCGACACAGCATGAGGTTGCCGCTGAGCCTCCACCATATCTGCGTGAGTAGGGTAGGAGTGAGCATCAAATGTGGACTCTTAATTGATGACGCCTATTTCCTAGACGCTTTTTGTGATAATTCTTCTCTTTTCTCCTTACAGATGATGACCCACCATCGTATATAATTCCGGGCGATATCTGGCTCTTTCAAGCCACGACAGAAGAATCTGTCTTTATCGCTCTTCTTCTCTGTAAGGACTCATCCCCGTGGAGATGAGGGCGAAGATATTTGACACTGACCCCGATTACATCGTTTCCGTTATTCAAAGAATTTGGTCCAGAGGGCACTTCAATTCTCTGCGATACAATCCTTGTAGGCATCGGCTCTTCCGCTTCCACTTATCCTGAGATTGAACTCACTTCGTCTATCAGCATATTCAAATTTGCTTTCGCTTTTGTAGACTGGATTGACAAGCATGCTCGGAAACCCACTCAAGAAATGGACGTCGCTTTCAGCGTCCCATCTTGCATCATTTTGGTCTTAATAATGCGGACCCAATTGTGTGTATATTTCCCGCAGTCATCGTTACACGGATTGATCATCTGATTTCTATCTTCTAACATATCTAGGTACGGCTCGCTGGTCGTCTGGCTATAGCGCGTAGTCTCGATGAGCGATACGAGAAGACATCAAGTACGGAGGTGTCGAGTACTTCTATTCCATTCGAGGGAGGCCTCGTTGAGCCTTCTCCGACGATGTGCGAGGAGACGTCTCTCGTGTCACCCCAGTGTCACGGTCAACCTCTGAAACACAACGTGTATAACGTATCCTGGTCGGAATACTACATTCATTTGGGTCTTTTATCAGTCCAAGAAAATGCCCCCCGGTATTCTGACTTAGTACCTGCCTGCTGGAATCGATCAACGATCCCCGTAGGACACCTAAAACACATTAACTGTTGTGGGTAACGCTCACACGACACTGCCGAAAATGTCGCTGACAGTTCTAAGAATAAGTGGGAGAGGGACAATTTCTGCAAACCACACATCGAACCTTTTGAGAAGGTAAGGCTCAGAGTGACAGCGCCGAAGGTTCTCCCCGAGACGGTCACACTGCTGACAGTCCCGGGCCATACAAGAAAGGGGAACTTAAAGGAGTGGATGTCCATAGCACGAATCCCACCATGAGCGAGTACACAAATGAGTAGAAACCGAGCACATACACCAGTCAGTATCCGAAGGATGCCATACACGAGCACGCAAAGTCTTATTATTGCATATACCTGCCGCTCTTCCCACTCCCGAACCGATCCCCGAGGCTCTTCGCGTCCTTAATCATCTTTGCGCGCGATGCGTCGTCCATCAAGCGGCCACCGAGGGACATGTCGCGATCCCTGTCCCAAATGGGTAGTGAATTTTGCTGAAGCTCCCTCGAGGTTGAACCTGTAGAAATAGAAGACCCTGGCTTGGAGGCAAGTGAAGGTGCATGCAATTCAACTAGCGATGCTGCACGCTTTGATTTCTATGATGATCGAGGTCGAATTTCGTGGACCGGTGGCATTAAAATCTTTATCACAGAGAGGGAATAAGGGACACAAACATTGTGTTCCTCCACATGCTTTTTGATCTCCACATCACGTTTCCGTCTCTTACGATCTTCAGCTGTTTCCTCTTCTGCTTGTTGTCCACCTGCTGCGATCTCACTCCGTTTACGTTTTCCCATGACCTCATCGGCAAGACGAGCTTGACGTTCGGCCGGAGTCTCAGTCCAGAGTGTCGACGCCGTGGGTTTGTCGGCAGTCGTCCTTGAGAATTGACGGGACTTGAGCTTAGTGGGGTCAAGGGCTGGAAGGTGAAAGGTAAGTAGAGTAGGAAAGACGACAGAGCGGAAGTCTGAGGAGATTGCGTACATCCCAACAAGTCGGATGATTTTGGAGGCACCAGCATCCATTCATCTCGTTTCAATTGCTTTGGTTTCAGCGATTCCTAGAACATCCACACAGAAGTGATCTTCAATATGAGATGAGATATGACGGCATCGAAAACCAAGGTTCCAGTGACTCACTTCCAATTCCTTCTTCCGACGTTCTTCTCGCTCCATAAATTCGCGCACACCATCACCTCGTCTGTCCGCCTCGACGCCACTGGGGAGAGGTTTTGGCCCATAATCATCGTCTGAATCAGAACTATCACCAGATTGAAGGCCATGGATAGGGGGAAGTGTGGGTCCAAGGACACGTGGAGGAACAGTGAGATCTGGCGGAAGAGAGGGTGCCCAAGAATCCTCGTCATCTTCTTGCTCCTGGACCGGGAGGTGACTTGATAGGATTGGGTGTGTCATAGGGTCGCTATCAGGCAGCAGTGATCCTGACCCAGTACCTTCTTCATCGTCTTCCAACCTTCGACGCAGAAGGTGAGCAGGGATAGATGGCCCAATAGACATTGTCACTGTGACACTGTGACTCCAGAGTTTGCCGAACCACCTCCAACGTTGTCACTGTGATGGCATCCTCGTCTACCGGGAAACTTGAACCGTTTTTGCTCATGGCAAAGTCAGCCAAGGGTGTTTCCGCCTCAAAGCTCATCGAGAATGCGATCGGCGCTCCAGGCGTGTATGTCTATGCGGAACTACTAGACGTCCCAAATGTGAAGGAGGTGCATGCGACTTACAGAAATACGATCGACAGTGTTGTTGACCGCTGATACTCTCGTTCTAGCTTTCCGAAAACTCCCAATTTTCCGGTTATCTTACCCTTCTCCAGATATTCTCCTACGGGACGTATGCAGACTACCGACGTATGTCGAACAAGTGGATTTTGACTCGCTGAAGTCGTGGGGCCTCAGGATCATCTCATGCTTCATAGAGAATCAAGATCGACTACCAAAGCTCAATCAGTCACAGCTTACCAAATTAAAGCAACTCTCAATTGTCTCCCTTGCCAACGAGAGCCGCGTACTTTGCTTACCTGAATCAAGATGACTTCACTCCTCTGATTATTCCGCCTCTAGATTCTACCATACAGCCAGCTACTTGCTGCTTTGGATCTTCCCTCGATTCGAGTGCTTGAAGACCTCATTATTGATGCCATATACGCCGATATCGTGCGAGGGAAGCTGGATCAGAAGCAACAACAATTCGAGGTCCAATATACTATGGGGCGGGATCTCAGACCAGGTCAATTGGAAGAATTACTCGAAGCGTTGCAGGACTGGTCTGTGCGTTTTATACCGGCTTCGGGCTTGGTATCGATTGTCTTATATCGTCTAGGTCGAGCCGCATTTCATTGGTCCTTGATGCATTGGACGGAAAAATTGCAGACATAGAGTTGAACGACGCTCGATCCAAGGAGATTCTTGCGGACCACGATCTTATTCGCCAAGCGACTGTCACTGAAATCCTTTCCTCTCGGTACGGTAATAATCCTAATCCTGTGACCGGAGGCGCGAAGAGAGGAGATCGCGAGAGGGGTCCTCATCTCAGTCAAACCCAGGCCGTGTTCGAGGACATGGAAGTGGATCCAGTGTCTCCTTCTAGTCCCACAGGTGGGGGGTCGTCACAGAATACGAGGAAGAAGCCAGCCAGCTCCGGCGCGAGCGGGGGAACAAATGCGCGAAAACGCGTTCGAGGAGGACCATAGTTTAGTAGGCTCTTACCTGGTCTACATTTCTTTCTTCATAATCACTCACCTCTACCCTGTCCACCAAACCCAGATGCCTTCGGTCGTCTTGCGCCTCTCACGATTTTAGTCCCCTTCTGGTTGCGCGACATAGGAAATTAATTCTTACTGAGCAATTAGAATAATACATGTCACGGAAAGTCTGCTGTGCTTCAAGCTCCTGGACCCCTCTACTCCCCCAATGAATGATTGGATACATCAGGTTCCAAGGTGGGCGTGAATCCCTTTGGAGGAGTCCGGGGTAACTCGCGCGAGTGCTTTAGTCCCGATATGCTGTTTCTGCCTTGAACTGTGCCATCCTTGCTTCCCATTCTGATTTGTCCCAATTATAACCTTCATCTGTGCTGTGGGGAAACAACCAAGTTGTCCCACGACTGCCCGTGGTGGCTATCTATTGGGCACTAGCAAGGCATTCCTTTCATTGGAAGAACAAAGGGTGTTAACAACTTCCAACCAGTAATTGCCGGCGGCGCAAAAGTGTCCCCTGGGAGAGTCGAACTCCCGACCTTTGGATACCTTGGATCGGTGGGTAGTACCCACTCAATATTATGAGACCAACGCTTTAACCAACTGAGCCAAGGAGACTATAGGGGAGTGGCTTCCCCGCAATCACCAAGTACAGAAACAACGTTATGGCTCGGAGCGCCTCTTTTTTCCTTATCCGCTGTGCTTCGGATAACTAAGATAAAGCGTCTCCGGCTTGGGGGTGGGAGATTCAACTCATTCACAAGTGTTTGCTTCCTGAACTGAGCTTCGGTCCTAACGCAGGGAGCCCCAGGAAGTTCGAATAAAGGCAATAGATTCCTAGATTCCCATGCCGAAGCGACAGCTTGTCTACTCTCGAGGAAACAGAGATCCCTTTCCCGCACTCGTAAACAAAAATTTCATTTATGTTGTCTGGATTACCTGAAGAAATAAATCGTTGACGATTTTCTTAACCCGCGTGTTTGTCAACGATCTGCTGTGACGTGCTTAATAGTATATAATATATGCATTTCTGTGGCTCTTCGACTCCAATACTACGGCCGATTGGGAAATTGGTCTTATATCTCTATTTTGAGCACGAGCTTACAAAAGTGGGGGCGGGGAATATCTTCCCTATTGAGACAAATCGGACTTGGTGCCATTCTTCCCGCCTTGCCGGGTACAGATGAGGCAGATGGATCAGGGGGAGGGGGAAGGAGGGATCGCTTCCCAATTCATCGCTGCTGCCGATGCTCCCAACGCTAAACATCACTCGAACTCAATTGGATCTCTGTCCCTCTGACCTTGCGTTGCTTTCAGCTCTCTATCGCATTGATAACAGAGTGCGATAGACGCTGCCCTGGTCACGTGTTTCGACTTCGATGTGGACCAGGAGGCGCCAAATCCGGATTGTGAGGATTTCTCTTTCCCATTTCGGTAAGAAAATCGTCACATCCTTGCTGGTTTAGGATCTACTGGAGAGCGGTTCACCTAGAGCCCATATATATCCATTCACGATGCCGTAGGCCAGTAACTTAAAGAGCTCTAACTCAAACTCTGTGTACCTGACGTACGTCGTGCACCATCTTTATTCCTCAATTAAGCTAAATGAAATGGGATAGCGATAATTATTACGTGACCATCCTGATATCCTACTCATACGATTCGAGTCCCCTCACTGGGAGTGCTGGAGTAGTAATGTGGGGGATGTAGCAGATACGTCTTGCACGACAATTTCGGACTGTTTCATCCGTATCCAGAATGTCTTTACTACCTCCGCCATTCTCTTCTCTCCCAACTCAACATGGCGCGGATGACCGGATGTGGCGCCCAATACCGACACGCACACTGCACCTCTGGTGGCACGTCTCACTGTCTCTTCGAAACCGTCCGCCTCCGTACTCAGCAGGGACGTATCCGAGATCCCTGCTACATCCCGCTTCAGAGGGGCGCTGCTCCAACTTCCGACTGGAGTGGTGATTATGTAAGACACCAGATTCGGCGCCCTTCAGGCACTTCCTTCAATTTGGAGGACCCCACACTTTCACAAGGAAGAGTAGTCTTTGCAAGGCATAAATCTCAAGAAATCACTGAGCGTGTTCGAATGGTTGTGACCATGTTCACCAACAACTTTCCAGCTGGTTTCCTAGAGTCTTAAGAGCAGGCCATGAAAAGCAAAATGGTACTGTACATAACGACCGGAAGAGAACTGAAGAGGACTACTGTAGTAACAAGATCCCAAGCGTAAGCAATTACAATTTACAATTCATCCAATTGATATAAATGTCGGCGTACAAAATATGGCAGAAGAAAATAACCGAGAGAAACATGTGCAGGGAGTATCGCGACTTTTCGTTGGCAGGAAGAAAGGCGTCACATGGTGCGCCCTGGTTCGAACCCACGAGGTGACAGCATCGGTGGACAAGGCTCTATCTTCGAGGAAGGGAGATCCACGGGATACGTCCCGCCGATGGGCTCTGAGTAGTCTATAGATTCGCGAGTATGGAGGGGTATGTGTACATAGAGGCGGCGCGTTCGTAGGCCGTGTTCGACGGCCTTTTGAGAGGAGATCAAAGTCAATTCGGTCTGCTGCATGTCTCGTCCACCACTGTTGGTCCGCGACAAAAAAACCGCCTATCAGATAAAGATTCGGTAGTTGCTGGGTTCTCGAATGAGGTAAAAAGACGCATTAGGGGAGGGAGGGAGGGGTCGGGTGGGTTTTTCAGTCCTAATCGCACTCTTGCCCGCTCGACTCTGGAACCCACGGTCGAAGACCATTGGGCTCCGAGGGTATGGACAATGCATGCAGTTCGGGAAGCCTGGGCGAATCGACTGCATCGCACTCGGGTGTCTTCTCACCCACCACGTCGACCGGAGGACTCGGTGCAGGCTCCTTTCCCAACAAATCGACCCCACTCGCATTCCAACTACCCACTGCATTGATGGCCTCTTCTAGTTCCCTGTCACGGTCTGGTTCCACGGATTCCACGGATTCCACGGATTCCGTGGTCCTGGTCCCGTTCCCATTGACCTTGCCAGATTCGACTTCATCCACTTTGACCATCAGATTGCTCCAGCCGGAGGCATTACCTGCCCGTTCCTCTTCCTCGTCGATCATTTTCTTCCGCCATGCTGCAGGGCTCCACTCCACCCGATCATGGGACATGGCTCGGGAGAGGCCGAGGAGGCATTTAGAGCAGCATGGGCGTAAGGGAACGGTGTTTGGCTGATTGCTGGTACTGCTCCGTCGAAATAGTGGACGTGGACTAAAATAGCTTGAGGGCGAGGAATGAGCTGATGGTGAGCCAGAAGTGAAGGAAGAAGTCGATTCAGGGGGAGGACTGAATGGTATGGGGGACTCCAGTGTCGATTCAGAGGAAGGGAGGAGATCCGAAGGGAGAACGGGCCCTATCGTTGGCGGGCTCGACCCCCTGTCCAAGCTGGGAGAACGCAGGCAACTCTTGGTGCTGGGCGGGGGAAAGCTAGCGTGCGAGTCGGGCCTTCGTGTGACCCTGCAAAGTCGGGAGGGGAATGGGGAAGGCGTGAGCGGGGAGACAAGTCGTTGTTAGCTTGAAAACTAGTCTTCCACTTGGAGTGGAGTGAATCTTCAGATACCTTGGGAGTTTCAAGGTAAACGACGGATTCTTGTGGGCACAAGGCAAGTGAGGGTCTTGGTGATCAAACTGGATGATGGGTCGGTGCAGTCCGTTCACCCAGTTTATGGGGAGAGGGATTGAGACAGTCCGGGTACAGAGACGAGGACGACCTCGGGGACCAGTAGGTGTATCGATGGGAATGATAGCACACTCTGCATCAAAACGAACGCGCGACGGCGTTTGCAGCAGACCGTGCGGTGGGACTGCGTTGGTCGACATCCAACGACCTACTGGAACGAAGCAAAGGTGGGGAAGGGGCGAGGGTATTCATAACGATAATTCAAAATGCGGGGTATTCATCCAGTAGATCCGCCACCCCGGAAAATTGTCTCCCAATTGCCAAAAATTGCACCCTGGAGACACCCATGGGAGAAGGCCTACAGGTACTTAGGCTGACTACTTTATCAAACCTAATGAGGAGAGGAGGGGAGGGGAAGAAAGGTGCAGTTCACTGGCATAAGCCACAACACCCACAAATATCTTCCCCAACCCATGCAATTTCATCCGGCATCGCATATCTCACACAATGTCATTCCAATTTTATGTGCGAAAAACACGCCTCTGAAGCTAGAAGGATATTGTTGTCGAAAATGATGCAAAAAGAAAAAAAAAAAAACACAGATGAAAAGAGTGAGGATCAAGGAAGTAGAAATCAGAAGAATGCACCGAGTCCGCAAGTGCCAACGTGGATAGGGGGGGTGTATATGCAAACGGCGGCAAAAGCTGCTCCTTTTGAAAGGTAAGGAAGAATCTATCGACTCTCCGAGGAGTAAATGAACGTGAAAAGCCATGAGACAGGAAAACGAGTGTGACAAAGTGTAGTGTGAGGGTGCCGACCCAGCACGAGGTCGACACATGTACATGGAATGAAATGGTTCTGATGGTACAGACAAAAGTCGGGAGGTTTGACGATCGAGACTTCCTAAGCCTGCATGGCTACGAATCTCGAATAGGCAGGGGAATGAGTGAGAGAGCGTAGGCTATGGGTCTGGAAACAGTATTTTTGGCACGGGGTGTGGGTATTGCAGTGTTAAATAGCGAGATGAGAGATGTTGATGCTGATGAATGGGAATGGACTCGTGAAATCGGTTTCGAGGCTGGGGGTAAGCATCGAGTGGACTAAATGCAGTGGGAGCTATACGAAGAACTGGGTGCTGCGATCACGTTTATATTAGTCCAATTGTATCACCCCCTACGAAGAGTAAGGCACTCACTGTGCACGACTGGATGTGTGCACTTCCATTTCCTCCATCTTGTATGAATTCAACTCCTCTTTGATTCGTTGCGCGAGAGCGGGGTCAGATGGTTGCAGGTAGCTGGTTCGGACCGTCGATCGTAGACTAACGCACTGAATGTATCGTATACGGATAGGTTTGCCGCGAATGTGATCTTCTTGCTCTGCAAGGGAGTCGTGCTGGCTCGATGTACCGTATCTCTCTCTTGTGGACGCATAAGCGACAGTGTAGGGGCTGACGAGTTCATGCTTGGGTGGGCATATGGCATATTCGGATGTGTCGGAGATGGCACTGCCGGCTTTCCATGGTTGCTGGAGGATCCCATACTCGCATTCGATGATGCTGGAGATTCAGAGAAAATAGTTATATCGGTTAGGTTCAAAGACGGTAACAAGGTAGAGAGATCAGAGTCTGGTGATTGCAGTCCATCAATGTGGTCGGGATCCGCAGTGGCGATGCGAGATAGTGGGCCCGGCTCGCTGTGATGGGGAGACACTGTGTCATACGAGTTGGCGCGATGACGAGAGAAGGAATGATTTCTATTTAACTGTAAATCGTGTTCCTGGTTATATAAACCCGCATCTGCACATAGCGTAGACGATGATCAGACACGCCCGAGACAAAGCTGCTTGACTCACTCTTCAGGATACCACGAGATGGAGTGCGGGCACGCTCTAAAGAGCGACGGACCCCAATGGCCCATGGCTCATGCGCGACTTCTAAACTTTCT